TGTGCTAAAAAATGGGGATAAGCCCACAAAAGCCACTTCTACTGTGAATGCAAGCCTTATGAGGTACGTGGCGAAAATAAGCTGGCGAGAATTAATGTTATTAAGCCGTGGACTTTCAATTGATGCTAATACTTATAATATCTGGGGACATTATTTAAATAGTTTTGTTGATTGCTACTGATACCGATACTAATATTAGAGAAGAAGATAAGGATAATAGTGATGATGACCATGACGTCGATAACAACAGTAAAATTATAGTTTTATTGCATAATGGATGCCCAATTTGAACTTTCTGTTTTACAGCGTTTTAAGCGACGAAGATCATACTATTTTTATTTAAAACAAAAAATTAAAATATATCATTAGGATAAACAAAAACAAAAACCTTTTACTTTAACGTGTTCTCTATATGAAAGCCATAAAGATCGGAAAGGATCACTCGTTGAATTGTATTAATACCAATTTGAATTTTTTTTTATATGGTACAGAAACAGGAATGAACTCGAATACTATCAATGGACATTCCCGAGAAACAATTAGCCGGAAACAGTCAGTACTGCAACTCAGCGGAAGAGAACATACAATGATAAGATTACCAGAGAACAGACCATGATAAAATGGACCAAACCAACCTTTATACCTTGATTGTGAATCTGCGAAGCATACGGAAAAGGAATGGGCCGAGAAGATCATGGATGCTGGACCTAATAAAATTAAATAAAACCCCATTCAACCGGAGTGAACGAGAGAAACACGCTAAGGGTTATGTAGAGTTGAGTGTGAGTTGTAAAGGTCATACGCTCTACAGAGAATTAAAGGGTACAAGTAATTAGGTACGTATGGTAGACTAGCCAGCCAGCCAGCCAAGTGCAACTTTGCCATGATTCTAAATTAGTTTCTTTTCTTTTTCTTATTTTGTTCTTTTTATAGGAAACCATGTAATAGATGATTGAACAGTTTGCTGCAAAATTTACTGTCTATACGGAATTGCATACTTGGCACAATCACTACCATCTTTATAACAAAAAGTACGCAACACTGGCTGGCAAAAGGCACGATATCCATCAACGTTATTTCTAGCTGTAGTACTCTTCCAAACATTTCAAGGTGCATAAATCATTTCTGTTACAGACTGCATATGCATGTTATATTAATTATTTTGGCAACGGAGTTTATCTCTCACAGAATCGAGCTTCTTTTCTTCCAAATCTTTCAAATACGTATCGAAACCTGTGATAACTTGAGTTACACAGTAGTGTTATCTATCTGAAACTCGGTTTAGGTCAAACGTGTTCGAAAACGTAGCAGGTCAGAGATGTTCATTAATGTTAATACTTATTGACGAGCTGCAGAAAAAGGAATTTTGAGTGCAAAATAGCTTTTTTGGTGCGAAACGCATAACCAGCAAACTTTTTCTACTAAAACTTAATCTTTGTTAAATTCTCAAAGTAATTTAAATTAAATTAAATTTAGTTAAGCTAAGTTAAATTAAGTCAAATTAAATTAAAAATAAATTGTTTCTCTTTTATTTGATAAAATTGTTCTGCAAATTTCACGTACACACATATATATATAATATATATATATATATATATATATATATATATATATATATATATATATATATATATATATATATATATATATATAAAACGATACGTATACCATGCTGAAAAAAAGTTTCAAACAATCTTCTCACACCTTCGATAAAAAAATGCTGGTCCTCGCAATGATAAGTGGTTTTTATCTGATGATCGTCCTGTTATCAAACCAGATGTACAATTTTCTGACCGTACTCTACTCGTGCATAGTAGTTTTTAACTGGAACACATGTTGGAGACTTTATTATGTAATTGTTGTCTCATGAAGAAATTTTAAAAAAAAATTCAGGTTCTTTTCTTAGAAGTATGTTCTAGCAAATGGCTATTGTCTCTAGGTGTTGTTAACAACTAAGATGTCAAAATGTAATGGTAGCAAAAATACAAATACGTTGAACTGCAAAACATATAAAGGCTAATATAAGGCAATAATGCATATTGTACAGCTCGTGCTGTGTGAGAAGAGAACACATCTATTTCAAGATAGCCTATTTGAATTAGAAAATTGACAGATGTGCAATAGCCTTTGTTCATTCATCTAGTGGATATCCCTTAGAACAATACCTCTTGCATATTCATTGTACCATCAAGTGTTATGTCGGTGCATCGCACGATATCGGAACTGCCCAAAGTCATTGTGCATCAAGCAATGAATAAGCTGGATGAGTGCATCCTTATGACCAAACAATTACAACGTCGAAACCTTCTCATGAACATTGGTAGAATCTATCAATGTATCTATCTAAATATTTATCTACCTTTTCTCTGTCTGTCTGTACCTCTGTGTCTGTCTGTCTGTCTGTCTGTCTGTCTGTCTGTCTCTCTCTCTCTCTCTCTCTCTCTCTCTCTCTCTCTCTCTCTCTCTCTCTCTCTATATATATATATATATATATATATATATATATATATATATATATATATATATATATATATATATATATATATATATATATATATATATATATATATATAAGGAATTCAAATGGCGAATAACATCCCTTTCAAGTGCACTGGATCCAGCAAGCAAGATTCACGTGTATCAGGGATTGATTAAGATAGATGCAATAAACTGACGACGTACAGTGCGAAACTAGTAGCTATCTAGTCTAAGCGCTTCCGACTCTTAATGTCTTTTTCGAAAGCGTATACAAAACATATACAAAAGAAACAAATAAACATAAACATTTAGTCAGTTTATTGCATATATATATATATATATATATATATATATATATATATATATATATATATATATATATATATAATGTTTAATGTTTCCACTTAAATTATATCTAAACAAAACATTAATCACATCTGAGGACTTATATTAAGAAATAAACTAAAAAAAACAGGATGAACACACACACAGACTCTCTCTCTCTCTTTCTCCTTGTTTACACTATTACTTCCTGCGTAACCTATGTCACAGTACTCCACATTTGAACACCTGACTGAACCATTCAATGGAAAATCACCAAAAATTTGTAGACAGGTTCAGTATTACGATTAGTTTCATGACCTGTTAAAACCTATTTATTTGTTCAGATGCAAACTACTGCGATGCACTATGAGCGAAAGACACTGTTTTATATATATATATATATATATATATATATATATATATATATATATATATATATATATATATATATACCAGACAGAACAGACAGTGCTATCCCTGGATTCTGTAGTAGAATCTTGATAATAGTGGGCAGAAATAATAGTTTAATACAAACAATACTATCGTACAGGTTAGAGAAATTAAATTCGTACTCTACCGAGTTTCGAACCCAGGTCCGCGAGTAAATGGCACCCATCGCCTTGCCTGCACGCACCAACCCATATACCGTCACGACTAAGCACGCATCACCAAAAAATGATGGCACTGAATCGGTGTTATATAAGCTCGTGCGTAGCAGACACACTTGCATGACGACCTAGTAATTAATTCTCATATATATGTACACAGTCGTTCCAGATTCCTATGAAAGAAATCAAGGTATATAGGATTTTTGTATTACAAATAATTATAAATATATACCAGTGTATTACAAATAATTATAAATATATACCAGGGATAGCACAGTCTGTTCTGTCTGGTATATATTTATAATTATTTGTAATACAAAAATCCTATATACCTTGATTTCTTTCATAGGAATCTGGAACGACTGTGTACATATATATGAGAATTAATTACTAGGTCGTCATGCGAGCGTGTCTGCTACGCACAAGCTTATATAACACCGATTCAGTGCCATCATTTTTTGGTGATGCGTGCTTAGTCGTGACGGTATATGGGTTGGTGCGTGCAGGCAAGGCGATGGGTGCCATTTACTCGCGGACCTGGGTTCGAAACTCGGTAGAGTACGAATTTAATTTCTCTAACCTGTATGATAGTATTGTTTGTATTAAACTATATATATATATATATATATATATATATATATATATATATATATATATATATATATATTATATATATATATAATAATAATAATTCATGCCGCGATTCAATGCAACATTTCAATGGTTAGAGCTCAGTACAACAATGAGATGATTCGAGATTATTTTATATCTATGTTCAACACGAAAATGACCTGGTGAGGGATTATTTGATTGCTCCCTTCAATACAACCTTGTCCAGGAAAGAGATGAATTAATTCCTCCACTCCACACATCAGTGATACAGAACGTGATCACCTGATGGCTCCATTCAATATTGCAATGACCAAGTTTGTAATTATTCGATGGACCGTTGCATAGAACAATGGCCTGGTCATAAATTAGTTGATGAATCTATTTGATACCAAAAATAACCTGCTCAGAGATGAGTTGATGGCTCCGTTCAAATCAACAATGACACGGTGAGAGATTAGTTTTTAGTTTCATTTAATTTCGCAAGGGCATGGTGTGAGATTAGCTAATGACTCCATCCAATACATCAAATACATGGCCAGAGATCAAGTAAATGCTCCATTCAATACATCAAATACATAGTCATAGATCAAGTGATGACTCCATTCACCACAGGAATAACATAGAGATCAAATAATTATCCCATTCCAGACATCAATGAAACAGTGAGATATCAGCTGATGGTTACATCCTGCGTAACAATGGGTATCGGGTTATTTTTATTTATCACCGTGGGCAAATTCGTATGTAATAATTAAAATAAATAATTTATTTAAGGAAATTTTTTCCTAAGGAATCAACTGTATGCGTCAGAGAAAAACAACTTTCTGCTTTTTCCTAGAAGAAAATATTCTCAGCGATTTCTTGAGATACGGAAATAAAGCACAAGTGAACTACAATAGGGAAGAGATTTCACTATATTTGGTAATCAAAAGATCCATTCTGCAGATTCTTCATCAATTAGCTGTGCAAACCGAAACCGCTCCAGTGGCCTAGTAGTTAGATCTTCCGCCTCATATGCGGGAGGTCGTGGGTTCGATCCCCGGTCGAGTAATACCAAAGACTTACAAAAAAATAGTACTTACAGCTGCCTCGCTTGACGCTCAGCATTAAGAGGTTAGTGTTAGGACTGGTCTGCCTGGTGTCAGGATAATGTGACTGGGTGGGACATCATGCTATATGTCTGCGGAATGATGTCCTAGTGCTAGACATCACTATAAAGTGCCACACTGCAGACATCGTAGCGATATGACTGAAATTTTTTTAAAGCTACGTTAAAAATCATAATCATATCATTGTGCAAACTGCTAAGTTTATAATATACCGTAAAAATCGCGATTTAAATGCGCTTTATGCGTGAAAGTGTCGCCTAAGCTTATGATGAATGCTCAATACAGTTATCGTAAAGAGCTCCCCTTTGACATAATTTTAAGTAGCGGAAATTTTGTATATTTTCGGCCTGAGACATAACCTAGTGCATAGGCTCGACAAACCAAATCATATTGATTGATTAATTAATATTATTTTAATGGTTAAATGTTTGGTGAAATAGCGAAACGTATTCACATGCATGGTAAAACTGATTTCAAAAGTAAAATATATTGTACCTTTAAATATTCTCAACTGATTTGGAATTGACGCCAATTTGCAGCGGGATTTTCTGAAAATGAATATGTTTTAATATATTGCCAAAAATGTACATGGAAGGTAGTGTTCCAGAAAGATGGGTGTGTGTTAAGAACAAAAAAATGATAAGAATCTTTTTCAATGAGAGTCCAAAGAAAGATGATCCATTTTTTTAGCACATTAATGCACGTGGAGAACGGACGGACTTCATTTTGCGTGCATGGTAATCTATTCGTACGGCATGAGGAAAATATTCCAGGTATCCAGAGGAATAATGAAACCGGGATGTAAAAAAAATGTTCTTGTTTCTAAATAGATAACTGAAAGAGAGAATAGTAATGCATCGTCTGCCAGGCATACTTGTCATTATTTCTCAAACACTTTATTCCAATATCTTGGCTCTTTAATGGATACGAACTGACATATCTTGTAACTTACAAGATAGCCAGAAAATCAAGTAAGCAAAAATAGATCTAGTACCAGAACACGGCATGAACAGCAAGTATGCATGCAGTCACTGACGGACATATTCCCGCACTGTAAGCATTGTCTTCTAAGCAGGTTTCTGAAAAAATGGCAAACAACATACATTCCTTTTTTCTGAAGATCTTACAAACAATGCAAGAACAGAATGTTTCCTCCACATTTATTAGTGTCTAGCAGTAATATCTCATAAAACTGGGTACATAAACAAGATGAATGTTCAAAATCCATCATTATGTCGTGCATTTTTTTAAAGTGATTCACACAAATGGGCTTGAAGGGAAAGTAATACATTGGTGCGCATCAAGCCAACGGTGTTTCAATAAAATCCTTTAGGCGGTGTGGGAGTAGAAGCAGTTCTCATTCAATACTTTAAAAAAAAAAATACGCCCGATAATGAATGGGTCAGAGAAACAAAAATAAAACGTTGTTTTACATCTACACCAACCATATGTCTAGCTACAAAATATTTCCAGGTGGTGTGGTAGAATAGGCGATGGCAAACTGTATTTCCAAAATATGCTATTTCTAACAATTTAGAATACTTTCATTAATATGTCGCACAAAAAGACCAGATGAAAATAAAAATTTACTACGCATCTAAATAAAGCACATATCTAGCCTAGAACATTTAAATAAAATTATGCAAGCAATTAAATGGTCAGTAGCTCAATTCAATTAATATCTTTTTTTGACATAATTCGAGAATTTTTCCCAAAACCAAGCTAGTGAAAGATTTTAAAGGGCACCAACACCAACCACATCGAAACTTTAGAGTTTCGTGATTGTCCTCCAAGCGGTGTGGAAGAAGGGAAAATCAGGTTGACATGCAGAACTATCAAAATGCCGTTTGAGCAATTTTCAAGACTTTTTCTATAAAAAAGAGACAGAATAAAGCAAAGTTTCGTTCTGCATCTCATCTACACCAACAACATCTCTTGTCTAAAACAACGTTCCAGTAAAATCCGTGTGGAAGAAAAAGCGATCACAATCTCAAATTATCGAAATAGGCAATGTGTGATGATAGTTCAAGAAATGTCCTTCCCCCCAATATTCAAGAAATGTCCCACCTCAATGTTCACTAAACATTCCCCCAAATTAATCTTTGAAAAAAATGAAAACCTTATTGAGCATTGTTAGAATCAAGCATATTGCACGACACGTGTGTCCAAAAATAGAATCGCGAGTTAGGAACTACTTTTGATTGTAAATAAATAATATAAGCTCATGTAACGAACGACGTAGCTTTTGAGTTATTAGATTAGTGTGCGGATGAACTAAATAATATGTTTGTTAATTTAAAAGTAGAGATAATAAAGTTAACGATATGGGTGAATTCAGTGAGTCACAAAAGAAACTTTCAAGCAAGTAACGAATGATCATGATATCCGCATTATTCGCAACAAATGCAAAGCACTCAGTATTGAAATTACCACTCAGATCACTTACACAGTTATTTAGGAGCAATGTTCATTGCTATTCGCAAATTGAATGGTTCAGACTACGACCAGTGCTCTCAAGGGTTTATACAAATATCATAGAAAGGCATATTAACTCTCTCAAATACGTACCATTTTACAATTCAGTCCAAACACTAAATTAGAAAACAGAAAACACAACTGATTAAGGCAAGTATAAGTAGAAGACGTAGTATTTCCGCTAGCGAGATGGGTTGTTACATTGCAGCTACGTTGTAAATTTCCCAGTTTTACTTTAGTGAGATAATGTTCGATTTGTATTGGTGATAGAAGTCCTACATATTATGTACATAGCAGCGATCCCTCCAACAAAGATCATGGAAATGACAGGGCATATACATACTTCGTCTGGTAATTAAAATAGCAATAAATATACATATTTTTTTGAATCTTGAATTTCCCCCAAAGTTACTGTCATAGCTTTCTTAATTATTTCTGCTAATAAGAATTACCTGGTCCCAAAAACTAGCCCACACTACGAAATTATACTGTAGGTCTATTTCTAGTACATTTCTAACATAAATCACATTCTTCTTACAGCAGACTGTTGCTGTTGTTGTTGTATGGTTTAGCGCCATTTTTCAGCACAAGTTACATGACGGCCAGTATAAATGGTGGAAAGATCCACCGACCCACGAGAAACTACTGGCAAGCATTCTCACATACTCACTTTGGCCGAACCCGATACTCTAACCCACGCAGAGGTGAGATGGCAGTGATCCATAAAGGTGAGCGCTTTAGACCATTTGGCCACTCGGGGCCCACGAAATGAATGGGATATTCCCTAGAAAAAAAAAAACAATAATTAGTACTGTGTGTCTTTCAGAATTTCAATTAAAAGAAGTCATATCTGACAAAACTGAAACATATGCTGAAACAATGCCAGTTCCTCCAGTCGCATGTACAACGTAAAGAATTGACCCAGCAAACAAATCCAATCTATCAGAACTAGAAAAGCAAAATTGAGTTGCATGGACAGACAAACAAATCCGTCCATTCCAGACCAACTGGGAATGTTGTTTCTATACGAATTCATTCACACTATGACTGCAGTCTTCAATTTTAAATATACCAAGATGAGATTTAATTTTTGAAGCGAATGACTAAACACTCGTCCAAGCATCAATGTCGCTGGGCTATGGTATGTGCGCATTAATGTTGTTGCAGTGTAATGTTGAACCTACAGTTGTATATTTACTTGGAATTCAGCATACATTCAATTGTTTTGTTTCTGTACTGTGTTATTTTTATTATTCAGCCTTAGATAGAAACAAAAATGAGATTATGAAAATGAGTAACTGAAGGTTACCACATTTGTATGGGAAAATATTAACTCGTTTTATTTCCTGATTAATACTGTACTCCTAACGTCTTATCTTACCGTATTTCTCAGAAAAATTCGTTCATATTTTCCCCATATAAATGTAGTAATCTATAAACACATGCAGCAAGAATGAACCACTCTGTTTTACTTTCTTGCTAGTGCACTGTACAATTTCTGGCACGTGGAAATGATAAATTACTCTGTCAACATCTCTTGCTAGTGGAGTGTAGGATCACTGACATTTGGAAATGATACACTACTATCTTCATCTCTTACAAGTGTACTGTATAATCTCTGACATGTATTAAAATACACTACTCTGTTTTTATCTCTTGCAAGTGTACTGTATAATCTCTGAGATGTATTAAAATACACTATTCTGTTTTTATCTCTTACAAGTGTACTGTATAATCTCTGAGATGTATTAAAATACACTACTCTGTTTTTATCTCTTACAAGTGTACTGTATAATCAGTGATTATGTAATGTGATTATGATTTTTAACGTAGCTTTAACAGTTTTTCAGTCATATTGCTACGATGTCTGCAATGTGCCAGTTTATAGTGATGTCTAGAACTGGGACATCATGCCGCAAACATGTAGCATGATGTCCCACCCAGTCCCATTACCTGGACACCAGGCCGCCGACCAGTCCTAACAACTAATATCTTAACGCTGAGTACAATTTTTGTAAGTCTTTAGTATTAATCGACAGGGGATCGAACCCTCGACCTCCTGCATCCGAGGCGGACGTTCTAACCACCAGGCCACCGGAACGGTATAATCAGATATATGTGGATAAAATGCAATACTCTGTTTATATCTTGTATAAATGAAGTGTATACTCACTGAAATGTGGACATGATACACTACTCTGTTTTGATCTCTTGCTACTGTATAATCTCATATATTGTAATGATACAATACACTGTTTATAAATTCACAGACATGTGGAAATGATGCACTACTCTTCCTAGTGTATTGCATAAGCATTTTAATTCGGGGAAGGATGCACTACACTGTTTGAACGTCGTACTAATGTATTGTTTGATCTCTGATATTTGGAAACGATACACTACTCTGTTAATATATCTTCCTGGTGTATTGCATAACTGTTGCATTCTGGGAAGGATACACTAAACTGTTTTCATATCGTACTAGTGTACTGTTAAACTATGATAAGTGGTATCGATACATTATTAATATCTATTGTCTGATATATGGAAATGATACACTATGTTTTCTTCTCTGCTAAGTGTCATCTATAACCATTTGTATAGGGAAGGACGCTCTGCGGTTTTTATCTCTTACTAGTGTACTCTATGATAATGAGAAAAATAGATGTCTCATTCAAACAGAAGGGCCGCTTTTGAAAACGAATTTGAGTACACAGACTGACAAACATTCTTTAACCATAGATATTTCGATTATTTACATTTTTTTAAAGAAAAGATTGATTTAGAAAGGATTTTTTTTTTCATTTAAGATATTACTATTATTTATTTTGAAAATTCTGATAAAAAAGAGCTTAAATCAAATTAAGCGAAAAGGAGCAGGCATTAGATTTCCGACAAAAGTATGCAGATAAGGGTAAATCGATCGTTAAGTAACTTTCATAGGAATATTGCTAAATTATCGAACGAATAAAACATTTCATTGCAGAAGGATCATTCGCTGAGACTAATTGATCCACAGCTGATTCATAAATGTACTTCTGTTGAATTCCTGTACTCAGCCATAAAATCAATTAATTCGAAGAAAAGTTATACTTTCTTCTCGCGCTCATCTTCCCACCTGCCTGATTTACGGATCAGGTGCGTAAAAGGATTCGTAATTCATTCATTGGCATGGAAAGAAACAACCATCTGTTCTTACCGTAGTGGTTCATAAGACATGTTTTTCAAATGCGTAAATTATGCAAAATGCTTAAGATTTTAAAAGAGTGCGGAAACGGTTTCTTTTACTTAAAATAGGTGGAACTAATTAACTTCGCTTATATATATATATATATATATACATATATATATATATATATATATACATATATATATATACACATATAGATATATATATATATATATATACATACATACATACATACATACATACATACATACATACATACATACATACATACATACATACATACATACATACATACATACATACATACATACATACATACATACATACACTTCAAATTCATCCATTGTACTTTTTTCGTGGACACTTTTTTGAATGCTGTTTATATATGGATTTACTTTCAGCGTTTTGGATAGTGGATTTTGACACGGTAAATTTACAAACAATTGAATATAAGAGACAAATCTAATTATCAGCACTTCAAAAATTCATCTCTATTACAGCATACCAGACGTAACTTAAGATGCATTCAAGAATGTGGAAATCACGTGCAATTTGAGAAACGGCCAAGGTCTTAATTTGCTTGCTTCAACAGGTGAGTTCAAACTTAAATACCTCGCCAACGCCTGGAGTCACTTCATATATGTGTGTGTCTATATATATATATGTATATATGTATATGTATATATATATATATATATATATATATATATATATATATATATATATATATATATATATATATATATATATATATATATATATATATATATATTAGGAAGAAACAATTAATATGCAAAACACAATCGGATGTCTTCTCCAAAACATACTTACATTATATTCTTAACGGAAGCCTTATTCTCCTAATTTTCAATATTTGCATTGGTAAATATTTGTTCCTTAACGTTAAATATTAGTAGAAACTAAATTTCGATCAATAATGAAGAAATATACTTATCAAAGACTGAAAATTTAGGAGAGCATTTTGGACAAGATAAAGTTTTTTTTTTTATAGATATTTTTAACTTATTAGGAACCCAAATTCATCAGTTTTCAGGATTTTCTCTGAAAGCCTTGAAAAATTTTAATTCTGACAACTCATCAATATTCCATATACTACATACCTCGATGTGCTCGTACAATCTGGAAAAAAGAGTATTCTCTTATGTTGATAATATTGTCACATTGGTATGAAGGGTCATAAAGGGCAAATAGAGCAACCAAAGCTACCTTCACGTTTACGAATGTTTGATTGCATATACTGACTTCACACACACACACACACACACACGCACACACACACACACACACACACACACACACACACGTATATACCTTCTGAATTTGTGAACCTCATTCAGAGTGCATGATATGCTTATGCCAGTGCCCACTGACACTGGAACACATTTTTGTACGTTTGTCAACTTTCACGCTGTGACAGGGAAGTGTTTTGACGGAAACTCAATGAAGAAACAGAATGATCACGAACCACTTGAAAAATCGTGGAATGTTTGCCAGAAAAGTTTATCTAAATAAAAATTTCAACACCTGTTTAAAAGATTTTATATTTGTTGAATTTAGACTTTATTTGATATGCATTTGACCGAATTTTAACATCTTTCAGTTATATATTTCTTTTGTTGTACTTCATACTTACATCTATTGGAAGGGTTTATCATTCTAAATTTGTGTCCTATCTATTTTTATGTTTTAGTACTGACTTTCGTTGACACCATATAGACACTATTGACACTATATAGACACTATTGATACCATACAGACAATATTGACACGATATAGACACTATTGACACCATATATACACTATTGACACCATATAGACACTATTGACACAATATAGACACTATTGATACCATATAAACACTATTGACACCATATAGACACTATTGATACAATATAGACACTCTTGACACCATATAGACAATATTGACACAATATAGACAATATTGATACCATATAGACACTATTGATACCATAAAAAACACTATTGACACCATATAGACACTATTGACACATTATAGACACTATTGACACCATATAGACACTTTTGACACAATATAGACAATATTGACACAATATAGACACTATTGATACCATATAAACACTATTGACACCATATATACACTATTGCGTTGAGATTCAGTAGAACGTTACTATTTATTGCAATCCTTTTTTGTAACGTACAGTTAGGTCTATGGAAACAATTATATGTACTCGATTTCAACATCTGTCAACATACAATTACGACTATCGTAAAAACAACAGTAACATTACTTGATTCCTGCATCTGGAAACATATAGTCATGTCTATACAAACCGCTACATGTGCTTTATTTCAGCATCTGTCAAAATACAATTACGTCTATACAAATAGTTACATGCACTAGATTCTTACATCTGGCAACATGTATCTATAAAAACAGATACATGTAAGTGATTCCAATATTTGCCAACATACTTTTACGTCTTTAAAAATAGATGCATATACTCGATTCTAATGTTTGGTTTTGCGTTACTAGTATGGGCGAGAATGGAACTTGCGGAAAGATATTTTTGCAATTAAAGCATTTTAACAAATTTTCTCCTATGTTGCTTTTTGTCCTCTTTTATATTTCGTGTTTTATCTAAGAGTGGACGAGCCGTTTAAATGAGACGATTAAAGCAATGACATACAACAATAAGCATTTCTTGCTAGTTGAAAATTCGATGGCATACGAATCTTGTGGGGGACACGTGTATTTGTAATTTCTGTACTTGAATAAGAGGAATGCAGCATTAGATCATAAAAAGACGATGTGCGCAAAAACTCCAATCATTTTGACATAATTATAGCTACATTGCGATGCTGAAAAAAAAAATGCATCCAATCATCTGCTTTAGCCATAAAGTGGGAAGGCAGATGGATCTTAATCAGATAGCGCTATATGAAAGTTCATCTCAGAATAACCATCCGCCCCTCGACAATAATTCTTTGCAAATACTGTGAGAAATTATTTTGTTAGTGCTTATAAACGAAATTACATGTTCTATTTCCTAAGCATAAAATTTTAAACATAATAGATTAATAACATTAATTGCTCTGAGCATGGGAGTTAGTAGTAAATGGAAATGAAAGCTTTTGGTGCCAGTTTGTAGAGTGTAAGGGAATGTTTTGAAAATATTGTTTGACCAAGAGTTGCATATCTAGATTTACAACAAACAGATGGAGATTCGTTTCAAAGTATGTTTAAATGGTTGCTTAGTTGAGGATTTTATTTAACTAACGAGATTTATCACTTACTTCTGGGTGCAAATTGTAATACATTAGAATAGTGACACATAAATTTGGGAATATATTTCCCTGTGTAATTTCTTGAGTATTTTTTCTGGTGTAATTTGTTGTGTAATTTCTTGTGTAATTTTTTCTGTAACTTATTGTGTAGTTTATTGTGTAATTTTTGGTGTAACTTCTAGTGTAATTTCTTGCGTCTTTTCTTCAGTCTAGCAATATTCAAACCTTCTGATAGATTCAGTTTAGAATCTTTAGTTTCGATTGGAACGAATTACGATGACAAATAACATTTCACATTGTAAGAAAATTTAGCATTATCATTTATATTCTAAATTTCTGAACCATTTCCGAATTTAAGTATGGACTAAAAACAATACCCTTGCAACAATACTTTAACATTATAAGAAATTTCTGCATTGGCAGCAATACAATTTTCGCTTATCAAAAGTACAAAATAATGCCTTTTGTTGAATCAGTCGTAGCTAAGCGAACTTCTTTTTTTTAACTAGTTGCAAATTTAAAAATAAAACAAACATTGGGATTACTTAGATAACAAGCCAGGCTTGTGAGAAGCTGGTTTAATCCCTTGATCAATAGTATAGGTACATTATGAGCAGAAAATA